CTTTCACCCCCCCCCCCTACCCCACCCACCTCCAAAACCAAGTCATTCATACCCATCAAGATAAAAAATGAATACTTTCAATCTAAAGATATTTAGTTTAGAAGATTATATTTTACCCATATATCGATATTTTGTTTTGATAAATTATTCCGGACCCCCCAAGACCTAGTAGACCCGCCCTGCCCTCTTTCAGTCATTATTATTATTGCAATAAAAAATATTTAATTATTAACTTGTTTATTAAATCGTTACACGACACGACCCCGGGTCTGGAACCCCGGGTCTGGGCCCCGGGTCTGAACCCCGGGTCTGAACGCCGGGTCTGAACCCCGGGTCTGAACCCCGGGTCTGAACCCCGGGTCTGAACCCCGGGTCTGGGCCCCGGGTCTGGATCTCGGGTCTGAACCCCGGGTCTGGACCCCGGGTCTGAACCCCGGGTCTGGGCCCCGGGTCTGAACCCCGGGTCTGGGCCCCGGGTCTGGGCCCCGGGTCTGGATCTCGGGTCTGAACCCCGGGTCTGGACCCCGGGTCTGAACCCCGGGTCTGTGCTCAGAGCTGGTTTGGTCGATTTTTTAGACCCAAACCCCGGGTCTGGTTTTATACAACCAACCAATTAACAACACTATCCTGATCCATAATTTATAAAAGTAATCAATTTTTTAAAATTAAAAAAAAATTTATTTTAATAAAAGTAATAAAAATTTTATTTTAATAAAAGTAATTTAAACACATGCATATATAATTATAATCTTTACAAATGTACAACAAAAAAAATAAAAGAAATTTCAATAATGCTTATAAAACTGAAAAATATGGTCAATATGTTTCATTAAATCATCACAACATATTATAAAAGTTATAAAAATATTATATTTTAAAATAAAAATATGTTGGTTTATATATCGGGCTGCAAAGAAAATTATCTTTATTCAAACGAAAATGTAAACAGAGGAACAAAAAAAAACTTCACATCATTTTATAATTTAAAAAAAATATCAATTTTTTTTCAAAATATTTTTTTCCTTTTAAGATATTTTTCTGGCATTTTGTTACACCCTTTTTGATTATTTATAGATATTTTATAACAAATAAATAAAATATATCTATTACTCTCTTGACTGTTAATTTCTAAATTAATGTTTTCTAGTTTTCTAAATTAACTATATCTTACCGATTTTATTTTTTATGATAATGTTATTTTATACATCTCTAAAAAAACTATATCTTACCGATAAAATTTTATTTTTTATGATAATGTTATTTTATACATCCATATAAGATTAATATTCATCATGACTAGGCACCTTACCTTATAGACCCAAATAGTATGATAAAGGTATATAAATTTGATGTTAGAAAAAAACTATGAGAAGCAAAATAAATTTTTTCCGATTACAAAGTGAAGTTAAGAATATATAACGTAAGGAAAATCTATCAAGTCATATGTATTTTACTGATTACATAATATTTAGTTTAAAATACAATATCTAAAATGAATTTTTTTTTAACTAAATAATTAATAGCTATTTTGTATTTAGAAGATATAGTTTTTATTTTCTTACCTTTTTATCCTTCACACCCATAACTATACCTCACTCTAGAACTACAAATTGGATAGGGGGTAATTCCACTCATTTTGATAAATATACATCTGTACAAGTGATGGTATCCCTGAGAAAAAAAATTCAGCAAAATTATAGGGAGGGTGGGCCTCCTTATAATTCACATTCGCTTACTTTCGGCAGATCTATGACCAATGTGATAGATAAGATAAGAAGATATAAAAAGTTATAATTTATTATAAATAAATTAAAAAAAACATCTTTCTAATATCAAAAACAATGAACCCGGATTAAAACAAACTAGTTTAATTTTCTATATATTCAACAAATTGACCCAGCAAGCCAACCCAGCAGGCCGACCCAACAAGTCGACCCAGCAGGCCGACCCAGCAGGCCGACCCAACGACCCAGCAGGCCGACCCAACGACCCAGCAGGCCGACCCAATGCCAACCTGGATCGGCTCAACAGGCCCAATGGGTCGGGCTGGGTCGTGGTCGATTTTTCGACCCTGGCTCTGGGTTGGGCCAATTTTTACGACTTCGACTCGGGGTCGTGGTCGAAAAAAACGAACCATTTAACAACACTACTTGTATGATCCATAGCCTTCAGCCTGTTTCACATTAAAATCCTAGAGTGCCCTTATTTAGAGAATTTTTTTAAATAACTGGCACTCCGATTTCAGGAATTCAAGGAAAATGATTAACTTGTTGAACCATAGTCAAAGCAGTATTATTTATAAATATCTATTCATTTTTGCAAAATCAAATGTGATAAAATGTTATTAACAAATATGGTTCTCGTTCTAAATCGCTAAATAAATAATAATCGCTAAAAATAATAAAAAATATAATCTATTTAAAAATAAATTAAGACTGTTGGTAGGATCATCTGTTTGTATAAAATAAATAAATAAAATCAACAAATAAAAAAATAAAAATAAATACGTAGCGATGACATGACGTCACGATGACGTAGTGAGGACATCGAAAAATTATAATATAGATTTCAAACATTTATCCTAGAATTAAAAAATTCACATTCAGTGATCCACTCATATTTTTCACATTTTCGATAGAAAAATACTAATTAAAGTTTTGATTTCTTTTTTCAAGTTTTGTAAAATTGATTCATAGCAAAATTTCTTGAGCGATATAATATTTTTAATAATACAATTGCATTTGTTAGACATTAATTCTTTTAAAAATAAAGAAATTTTTTATTTAAAAACCAAGGGATAAAAATATAATATAAAAAAATTTCTTCTTCTATCTATTAAAAAAATAAGCATTTTTTATTTGCTTTACAAACACTTATTTTTTAAAAAGTCAAATTATACAATACATTCGCATGATTTTTTCTCTATATATTAAAACAATAAGCATTATATTTGGTCTCTTAATGTTTATTCTTCATCAAAAATTATAGAATGAGTATAATGTAGGAATTAACTTTATTGAATTGAGATATAAGTAAATTCGAAAATGAATATGTGAGCACAATATTTAGAAGATAAATAAAAAATCTAAATAGGAATGCAATATCGTCTTTTTGTATATTAGTAAATCAATTATGTATATTCATATATAGCCACATATCATTGTTAAATAATATAAAAAACACATTAATAATTTAAAATTAATTTACTAATATAAATAAAAGCAATTTAAAAATAAACTCGTAGATAACTAATATGTAACATCAAAAGGAACATTAATTTTACAATCCTTGGCTGTAATGCGGTAGTTCCCTTCATTTGCATCGATTGTGGCCAGTCCATTGAATTGAACGCTTGCCATCCCTTGCACTGCAAGTTCTCCCGTGAACGACAATCTTATAAATCTATCAACAATATTCTCCTAGCTGCCCATAAAAAAGTTAATATTCCATCCACCCTCGAACCAGCAAGCCTATCAAACGAAAACGCCATAGGCCTCGATGGTATATCCCTCATTCCCTGGACTAAAGGTCTCCCGCTCGCTTTTAAACATTCACTCTTCTCTAAGGTGATATGTACCCTTTTTTAATATATAATTTATAGTTCTATTTTACGTTTTTCTTCATAGATTATTTACATATATTTTATTTAAATTTAATTTTTAATATATCCTTGTTTTTTAGTATATATTTTTAATTTAATAGTGTATATATAATATTTATTACTTTAAAAAATTTTTAAACTGGTAATTTTTTTTCACAAAAAAATAATATTAAAAAATTTTTAACTTAGTAAAAGTGTTTTTTTTTAAAGTAGTAAAAGTGATATTAATTTTTTTAACGTAAAAATAATAATTATAATTGTATTCTAAAAAAATATCGCTCAAAAGGCTATTAAATAATTTTTACGTTAAAGCGGCTTTCAGGGAGCCATTAAAAAAAATTTGTTCTGAGGGCTATTTTTTTTCTTTAGGGGGTTTGAGCGCCCGTGATTTCACCTCAGTGACAATACTGCATCTTCGTTAAAATTATCCGAACAATAGGATGCATTAATTCTAAAATCAGCAACAAAATTTCCACCAGTCTCAATAAAAAAAAATCAAAAAGAATTCACACTATAATTGTTATGCTCATAGATTTTGATTTTTATAAATTTATACTGCCAATATTGTATTTCAAATCATATATATACAGATTTTACATACAAAACAATCAATAATATAAATCAAATATATAAATATAATAGAAGTATATACATTCTAATAATCTTAGGCAGTTGAGCAATACCCTCCGATATTATACACATATATAATCATTGTAAAACATATCTAATTAATGAATATACTATCATAATATATAAATAATATAGTGCCATATATTCATACATATATTTCCATTATATCAATAATAACTATATATGTATTATAATTCAATTATACATATAATTTTCACATTACTACAATGATAATGATAATTTGAACCCCAAGAAACCTTGATACAAAATTAATTAAAAAAATATAAGGTATCTCTGCAATTATCGATACAATTAATTAATTTACAATTTAATGTATATATCTTTTTTATTGGCTTAAAAAAATCAGTGAAATGATAACATTTCACAGTAAAAATTAAAGTTTACCCACATACTAAAATAATATATTCTTTTCATTACATCTGAAAATTATTTATGTTACATAAAAACACAATAACACAAAATAAACATAAGAAATAATGTTGTATATACAAATAATATTAATATTTATCTGGATCATATATGGCCTAAATCTTATTGATGATGTTGATCGTCTCTACAGAACTGGAATGGATATTTGTATTTTAAAGGAAATAATCCTATGAATAATTTTAATTATATTTTTTATCTCTATAATTTGATACTGTCAAAAAATCTTGTAAAGAAAAACTACATACTACTGTTCTTAAGAAATTGGGTTTATATTCCCTCCGTAAATCGGAATTCTTATTAATTTCCAATTTTCCTCAAGCATACAAATATTTCTTATTATGGACTACTCCAAGAAAGCTACCATTCAGGATATTCGAAAGAATAGCAATACTCTCCCAATATGGGGAAACGACAAATCAATGAATTTAAATCATCTTATTCTCGCCAATATTCAAGGATCCAGTTACTTCAAAGTTAATTTAGCTGAAATGAAAACATTTTTTGAAGTCGTGGATGAAATATATTATCATGTTAATTTTAATTTTATATTTTTATCAACTACTTAAATAATAGGTTACTCATTTAGAACCTTGGGAAAAAGGAAGTAGAAAAACAGCTGGACAGACTGGAATGTGTGGAGGAGTATTTTTAATGATTAAATTGAATAATTAAAGAATTTATAGGTTAGGGGAGTTGGGGCTGGTGGAGTCGTTTCCTCATGTTTTTGTATTTTATTTAAACTATTTACATTAAAACTTACCAGGAGACAACTTTGTACCTTAATAAATCACAAAGATTCTCCTCATATTCGTGGTATTGGGTTTATGTTCATACGGTAAATTTTTTATTCATTGTTCTCATATATTAGGTAATAACTGTTGAATATTTTATATACACAATCTTATAGTTATTGTCAACCCCCAATAGATCTTTGGGATTGGTATGAACCTTATTTAGATGATCCTGAAGTACGTACGTTACCATAATATGTAATTCCCTATCAGTAAACATTTTAGTTACATAATATATATTTATTTATTTAAAGTAATTTTTTTTAAATAATAATTTATCTATTATTTTTTATTTAGGAAATTGATGTAAAAGCTGGAGGAGGATGTATTATGACTATTGGAGAAGTTATAAAAAGTTATTTGACTAAGCTTGAATGGTTTGCAACTTTATTTCCAAGGATACCTGTGCCTGTACAACATACAATTATGGAAAAACTCAGTCATCATAAACCTTCATCTACACATTTATCTCCTCTACAAAATGCACTAAATGACTATAATAATGATAATTATAATATAGAACAGAGCAGAGAAATGAAAGACAGAGAAAGTAAATTACATATAATATAATTTTTGTTATATAAAATAATCACAAAAAAAATAATTTTGAATATGATTTTACTGTATCTTATAATAATTATTAATTAACCAATAAAGCAACAAATAACATATATATCAGTAAAATTTATTGACTCATATTTTAGTAAAATGATTTAATAATAGTGTTCTATAGTAAATAATATCTAGTTTTCATAGATTAAATATAAAAGGTTGATAAATTCATAAGTAATTTTTTTTATAATATATATTTCCATAGATTCACATTACAGTAGACAAAGAGAGAGAGATCATAGCAATGATTATTGTGACCAGGATAGAGAAAGAGATAGAGTTAGGTCAAGATCCAGGGGTAGAGACAGAAGCAAAAATCGAAATCACAGAGAGGTATCTCTTAACAAAGATAGAGAGCAGAGTCAATCATCACGAAGGTAAATATAATTTTATTTTCCTAGAATTTTTTTCAATTATGTTAGAAAAATATTCGTTTGTTACTCATAGAATAAGCAATTATATTTATGGTATACAACTAACAGGATAAAATTTTGTAAACATTGGACTTTGGGGTAGTAATGTTGTTAAAAGCCATTTGGGTTGATTTATGATTAAAATTTTAGCCAAAATAATATTATGTACACTTGTAGATTTTGCTCGTAGATGGCAACAAGGTTTGGATCTCTATTTGCATCAAGCTTTTTAACACTAGTGGGTAGGAGCAGAATGGGCTTATATTAATTGTAAATAATTTTCTTTCAAAGTACTGCATGATTAAAAGTTAATAATAACAATTAATTAAAATAAAATATAGAACTAATCCAACTTATCAATTATGAGGTGGGCTAATTAAATGAATGCGTGGGTTAGTTTCAGAGTTGTTAAAGTAAGCATGGTATCTTTTTTAATAGCGATAGCTAATAGTGTGCTACTTTTTCAATTATTAATTTTTTTAGCGAGCTCCTTTTTTTGACTACTTTTTAAAAATATAATGAATATAACTATAAACATGAAAATTTAAATATGTTATCATAATTAATATTTTTATGATTTATTATTTAATTTTATAATTAAAATTTATTTTTCAATTTGTATTATAAACTAATTCATCTAATGTAAATAATTTAAAACGTCATCACAAATGGATATCCAAATCAAAGTGAGTCAGACAATGATGATGTTAATGAAATGGAAAGTACACTGGAAGAAAATGTTCTTGATAACAATAATACGCATTTTCATTTTCAAAATTTGAATAATATTTTCAAATAAATGTATAAACAAAAGGTGGCTACAAATTTATTTGTTTAAGATGTAAAAAATATATATCCTCAAATAAATCTAGTAGATATAACTTCAAAAAACACCTAATAGTAATTTTCTTTTTTAAATTCTAATAGTATTTATTTTATAAGAATGTTCATACCAACAGTTTTAAAGAGATAGAAAAACAGTAATAATTTTAGTATAAGGGAGACTACATCCAAAAAGACCAATTCAATTCAAGCTAAATTGATTAATAATATTGCACATGTCAATATTTCACTGGCTGAAGTTATTGTCGATATATAATTGATACAGATCAGCCAATTTCCTAGGTTAATAATACATCATTTATCATGATGATTTAGCTCTCTCCCCTGTTACAACAATTTTATGTCACCAGAGACTAATGATTAAGATAGCAGATAACTTTGAAGTGATGAAAAATTCTCTAATAGTAGAGTTGTCAGAGATATCCTATATATGTACCACACACAGAAGGTAAAAACTAATTTATATTAAAAATTGATTAATATTTTTAGAGCTTATTTGGGAATCACAGGCCAATGGCTAGACCCTAAGACTTTCAAAAGAAGATCCTTTACATTAGCCCTCATAAGGATAATAGGATGCCATACATACATTGTATTTGCAAATAAAATTTATGATTCATTCCAATTTTAAACTAACTGGCCATATATTGATTCCAATGATGCAAAAAATCAATGTGATAGGCTTTAGATAAAGCTGAATAGTCTCATATCAAACAAAGAAGCCCTAGTTACAACCACAAAACGACTTTCATTGATAATTTTTTTGAAATAAAGGATATTAATATAATAGAAAATCCTTTAAACGCGATTTTTATTGATAATTTTTCTTATATTATATATATAAAAAATTAAATACTGCCTTGCCCTCAAGTGCTAGTGTTGAGAGATTATTTAATTAGGCGAAACTTGTACTTTCTGATTGTAGACTTAGGAATGATAGTATGGAAATGATTTTATTATTAAAATGCAACAAAATAAATAAAAAATGAATATTACCATAGTTATTTTATTACATATATATTATAGTCTTTTTACATAAATTTTTTTATAATCAAAATTAATATATTAAATATTTATAAATGTTGATTTTTATATATATTATATACTATACAATTACATTATAACCAAAAAATAAAACAAATTTATTTCTAAATTTTTTTACAAAAAGTAGCCTAAAAAGTAGTCAAGTTACTTTTAGAAAATAATAGCTAATAGTGCACTACTTTTTTTGATGGGTAGCAATAGCAATAGTGTGCTACTTTTAAAAATAGGGTTTAATAACTCTGGTCAGTTAATTTTTTTTTAAACTTTGGGTGGTTGAATTAATTTTTTTTTGAAGAATGGGTTGGCAGGTAAATAAAGGCCTACCCATTGCAGACAAATATATAAAATTGCATATATATTATAACTATGATGAAATTTAAAGAACATGCACCTTAAATTTTTTTAGGTATTGTTAAAAACATTCACTTATTAAGAAAATTTTACAATTGAAATTTTTTTATTTTCATATTTCTAGCTTGCATCAGTAAATATGATAATAGTGTGGCATCTAGTGTTGCGTAATCGGCTAATTTTAGCCGACTAAAAACGGCTTAGCCGAGATTTTAGGTGGAAAAATCGGCTAAACCTAATTAGGCTAAGCCTAAAAATCGGCTAAGCCTAAAAATTGGCTAAGCCTACAAATGGGCTAAGCCTAAAAATTGGCTAAAATAAATTAGTCAAAATTCTGCATCGATGCTTAGCATTAATTATTATTTATTTATTTTAGTAAAATAATTTATTTTATTTATATTTAATGTAAATATTTTATTATTATCAACAAATAAACATGATATGATTTAATATTTTTTATTTATATTATTATATTTTGAAATGAAAATAAATTTATTTATTTGATGTTTTTTTAATAAAAAAAATAATATGCTGCTATATTGTAAAAATGTAATATTTATAATATAATTTATTAGTGATTTTCACAGTCTTCTTTGTAAATACATCTTTTATTGAGGAATTATATTGTAAATTTTATTAGATAAATAAACAATCTTTTAGGTGAAATCTTTTATCATTTTTTTTAAAATTATCTATTTATTATTAAATGAGGTGGATTTTATGAAACTTTTTTGATGTTATTTTATATGATCTTTTTAAGGATAATATTTTAATGTGACAATTGTCATAATCGTTCTTTTATAAGTTTTTTGAATTTTTTTGAAGAAAGTATGTTAAAATAAGTATTAATAACAGTAAATACAAATTTAGTGAAGATGTACCAATGAAAAGTGACAATTGTCATAATCGTTATTTTTAAAGCTTTTCGAATTTTTTTGACGAAAATATGTTAAAATAAGTATTAATAACATGTGTAAATATAAATTTAGTGAAGATGTACCAATGAAAAGTGACATGGATAATTTTAAAGTTTTTTGAATTTTTTTGACGAAAATTTGTTAAAATAAGTATTAATAACATGTGTAAATATAAATTTAGTGAAGATGTACCATAGAAAAGTGACAATTGTCATAATCGTTATTTTTAAAGTTTTTTGACGAAAATATGTTAAAATAAGTATTAATAACATGGTAAATATAAATTTAGTGAAAATGTACCAATGAAAAGTGACAATTGTAATAATCGCTATTTTTAAAGTTTTTTGAATTTTTTTGACGAAAATATGTTAAAATAAGTATTAATAACATGTGTAATTATAAATTTAGTGAAGATGTACCAATGAAAAGTGACAATTGTCATAATCGCTATTTTTAAAGTTTTTTGACGAAAATATGTTCAAATAAATATTAATAACATGTGTAAATATAAATTTAGTGAAGATGTACCAATGAAAAGTGACAATTGTCATAATGGTTAATTTTAAAATTTTTTGAATTTTTTTGACGAAAATTTGTTAAAATAAGTATTAATAACATGTGTAAATATAAATTTAGTGAAGATGTACCATAGAAAAGTGACAATTGTCATAATCGTTATTTTTAAAGTTTTTTGAATTTTTTTAACGGAAATATGTTAAAATAAGTATTAATAACATGTGTAAATATAAATTTAGTGAAGATGTACCAATGAAAAGTGACAATTGTCATAATCGCTATTTTTAAAGTTTTTTGAATTTTTTTGACGAAAATATGTTATAATAAGTATTAATAACATGTGTAAATATAAATTTAGTGAAGATGTACCAATGAAAAGTGACATTTGTCATAATCGTTATTTTTAAAGTTTTTTTAATTTTTTTGAAGAAATTATGTTAAAATAAGTATTAATAACATCTGTAAATATAAATTTAGTGAAGATGTACCAATGAAAAGTGACATTTGTCATAATCGTTATTTTTAAAGTATTTTGAATTTTTTTGAAGAAAATATGTTAAAATAAATATTAAAAACATGTTTAAGTAAAAATTTAGTGAAGATGTACCATAGAAAAGTGACAATTGTCATAATCGTTATTTTTAAAGTTTTTTGATTTTTTTTGACGAAAATATGTTAAAATAAGTATTAATAACATGTGTAAATATAAATTTAGTGAAGATGTACCAATTAAAAGTGACAATTGTCATAATCGTTATTTTTAAAGTTTTTTGAATTTTATTGACAAAGATATTTTAAAATAAGTATTGATAACATGTTTAAATAAAAATTTAGTGAAGATGTCCTCTAGATAAGCGACAATTGACATAATCGTTATTTTTAAAGTTTTTTGATTTTTTTTGACGAAAATAGTTAACTTGCATCGATATTGATTTTAAAATAGAAAAAAAAGTTTACCTAAATTTTAAACAATATTGTCTGGTGAAAATTGGTAAAAAAATAATAGTTTCTAACTTAGGATTAGATATTATGATATAAATTTCGCATATTAATTTCTGACCCGATGAACGGATGTAATAAAATGCCAATTTGCTCCTGTTTTTGGGGAAGAATCTATTATTACCATATGTTTTTCTATGGCATATACTCAGGCAATTTTAATTTTACAATCTATATTTTTACCCATTTACATCAAAGAAATTTTAAAAATAACGATTATGACAATTGTCACTTTTCTATAGTACATCTTCACTAAATTTTTATTTAAACATGTTATTATTACTCATTTTAACA